CTTTTCGTTCGATTTGCGAGAAGAGAAATATCGAGAGACGAATCGCGCAGATACGAGCAACCAAATGAAATCGTCGCTTCCACGCGGAAAGGCTGGACTAGAATTTGCAAGTAAGAGGCAAAAACAGTGTGCCGCGTAGACCGGAGTCGGATAATAGGAGCATCGCTCCTGACATCCACTTATCGGTAAACAGGGTACTGTGTCGGATAAACAGAGTCCGGCTAAACGGAGTTCTAGCTGTACACTTTATACGTTATTATACATAATAGAAACGCGAAACTTCTGCGAATCGCGGTGTGTCCGCGTGTAACGGTAATTAGTAACGAGCAAGATTGTAACGCGTGTAAATAACCGGACGGACTATGAAAGAGGCTGCAAAAAACTGTGGAAACTGTAAATGGAACTTTTCTTACCGCGTTCAAGCCGGCTGCCTTTTCCGGACCGACGACCGTGTTTCCCCACTCGATGCCCCCGTCGTGGCACTTTCGACCATGCGTAAGAACAGGCCCCTCGTGCCAAAACCCCTAAACCTACGGTTGTACGCGTGGTCGTCGCGCGTTTCGACGGAAAGAATTAAACGGTATAAATCGCGCGACTCTCGAGTATCGCGCTGCAGCGATTACGAGACAATGACGATCCTCGGCGACGGAGTGTTCGCTAGATGGCGGAATTTCGAAGCGACGAGCACGAAATCCGTCGTCGCGCACAAAAATAGCAGTACCGTTCCGCGCGGCTCTCGAGTCCGAAATGCTGCACGAGACTTAGCGCAGTCTTTTGCATGTATAAATAATTGAAAGGATTATACGAACGCGAAGCTGGAACAGAGGAGAAAGGGGATCGCAGGAATTAAAACAATTCTACCGCCCCTCCCCTTCCTTCTCCCGCTCCCCCCCGGCGAACGAGAAGCAGTAGCGTGTAATTACCGCGAGCGGGGAGCACGAGATCGCGATTCCACTCGGCCAGGAAACGTATAATGGGAGTATAATGCGTGAAATTTACCGGGCGCATCAGCATAATGGACGACGTGACGCTCAAGATATCACTATGATTCCGTATTTCCGTGCCGACAGCGCGACTCTCGATTCGCCCCGTCTCTCTCGCCGCGTGCCAGACAGCTTTGAAGCTTAAAATCGACCGATTATCGTACCCGTTCCCCGTTGAAACCGTTTCCTCCCGCTATAGTGCTCTCGTCTCGACATCGGTTCACGGAATTCGAGCGATTCGTTCAGGTATATACGGCCGGACACAAAGGTATCCGGCAGAGTTGCACGATCGGAGATTTCGAACCTCGCCGTCGCGTCGCTGTACATTTTACGTTATGCTAAGGAGCAAGGGAAAACGCGCGCGTGTCCGTGTGTGTGCTGGTAACAACTTCTTTATATCGCCCTGGCTCCTTTCAACGGTCTCGGCTCGCGCGTCCGCGAACCGATAAGACGATTATTGTCAGGGCAAACAGTTGCCTTCTTCCATTGTCCTTATCTGTAGCTTGAACTCCCGTGTCAATAATCGGTGTCATCCGCGACGTTCGAGACGTTTCTTGCCTTCGTGCTACACGGTGTTTGTGCGAGAAAGTCGTTCGATATCGTTTCATTGTTAGGCAAGCGCGTACCAACAACTATCAAATGAACGTCAACTAAATACCAAGTCGTGACTAGACTGCAGAATTTATGCGGTTATGGCAAACGCGGCTGTGCGAAATTGCAAACAGCGCAAGGATTATAAAAGGAACTGAGAATTTGTCGGTATACTAATTCCAGCTTACAAAAGAAGACCGAAGAAAGGAAGAAAATTAGATCTGACTCGACTGTCTTGTAATCGACGCAGACAATGTTTACTTTGCATAAAGATCCGCCCTCTAATTGTAAGAATGATAATTCTTATCTAGCTAGGGATGCCAATTATCTTTACATACGTTAGAATAAATAAGGAAATTATCTTTCACCCAGCTAATACTCTGCCACTGTTGATTACGTTTCTTTCTTTTTTTTTTAACGAATTCCAAAACGATTATATCCGACCGTTAACCCAAATGTTAATCAATGTGTAAACTAGGTGCCGTACTAACGCGTCTGTAACGTTCTTTTTTTTACGAATTGAAACCATATTTGCCAGGACAAAGTCTCGTGTCGAGCGCGCGATTTTGTTGCAACAAACGAATAGAAAGTTATAATTCGTTCGGGGTCCCGAGCGGCCTCAACAAGTGTTACGTCTCGAGAAGCCCCCGTTCGAAATCGCTCGACGCGGTTGAAATTAAAAAGTCCGTTGAGCAAACTCGAGGAACGGGTTCGCCGGCGATCCGCGATTCCGAAAGTTTTTCCAGCTGTGCACATGTGAAACTGCATTTATAGGAAACGCCGGCGCGCATGGGGTTGATTAAACCTATCAAATATTTGTCAAATCGGAATACGATGGAGCACGACGAGCCACGGTTCACGCCGTTGGATGTTCGCCTAACACCAGGATATTAAAAATTTTATTTGAATACGAGATAACGACTACAAACAGTGTAATAACGGTCGATTCGCCGTGTTTACTCCGTTTCGACGAGGTATCGTCGCGGCCTGCTCGAATCGAAAATTCGAAATGAAAGTTCGCCAATAACGAGCAAGAAAGTACATTTTATCCGTTTTAATCGCTGTTGAATATTTTTCATCCGCGTCGAAATTGCGACCATCTGCGCGTACACGTGTTTCGCCGCCGACGACCCAGCCTCGGCGGAAGCGAGACGACGACACACCGCCGGAACAACTTTCGTCCTTGTCCGCGTCTCGTCTCTGCTCTCGCTACTCCATGGCACTCGACAGAGTCACCCTTTTCCACACAACATTGTCACCGCCTTTCGAAAGGGGACACACAGAGCCACGACTCTTTCGCCGGCGCATGTTTTATTTTTTTTTTGTCCTCGTCGTCGTCTACCTCCGTCCCGTTCCGTCGGTCGTGTCCCCTGCTCTCTTTTTCCCTCGCTGCTCACCACGTGCTACAATATCGCCGGTCCGCATCCGGTGTAACGCCTGTTATTAGGGATGGGCCAGATGAAGCTTTCATTATTCTATCCGAGAGTCCCTTTCGCCCGACGCAACAACACACCGTTACAAACGGAGAGTAATGGGTGACTTTTTTTTCCTGCTTTCGTCTCTAATTATTATGATTATCGGGCCGAGGTGGATATAATGGCAACGGGAATAATGTAATTCTTCCTGTGAACGCTGCGTTTACGCTGTGCTTCGACGTTCCCGTCGATCCCGAGCGCATGCCGCGCGACTCCTAGGCATTAGCACGCATTCGCGCCGCTATTACCGTAATCCGTATTAGAATAAATATATTGTATCCATTTAAACCGGTCAAATCACCGGCCGCCCCCTTTATTTCTCGCCGATCGTTTACCATGCCCGTAAATTTATCGAGCACGACGTAAACCTTATTCGATGGAACCTTGGACTTACGTGAAGCTTCTTAAATATATTTACAACGATTTTCTGACGACAAAATTAGTCTCAGACTTTACTCTATGCGCGTACATATAAACAAATATTTACAAACTTTTCGAAATTAAAGATAAATTTAAGCATCGTTGCATCGTACGAAAATAATTCACAGTTTCTCTACTAAAAAAAAATGTAGATTTGAAGACACATAGCAGAAATAGCAGTGATTCTTACAAAAACAAAATTCCAAGGTTGTCGAAAAAGTAATTGACCACAGGCTACACCCGCGTAATAGATTAATAAATATCGAACGAGCATTTAATGTATCGCGGTTCGGGATAATCGGAAATATTTGCTTCAAGTCGAAGTTGAAATAGTTGAAAGTTTATTTAGAACCGCGTAGTAAAGAGACTCGAAACACAGCGTGAAACTATGCTCCAGGATAAACGTGTAAGTTCGAGCAGACGCGCGCGCGCGCGCACGGTCAATCGATCTCGAACAGCGTTGCGGTTACATGGTTACAACGAGCGAGACGGTTTAATCGCAGCCGCTATTAAAGATCGGTCATGAAATCCGTGCGCCGTGGGAGGGGGGGTCGTGAAAGAAACGAGGGG